TTCCTATACCTAGACATTGTTATGGGGGGCTGAGGCTGACGTGCTTAGGGAGAGCGGATTGCTAGTCCCTCTGGGCCCCTGTCATTCCTCATCCTTTCTCACTCTCGCAGATAAGTTTCAGGATCTTCCAATAGGAGCCTCCTAAGAGCATATTCTGACACAAATCATCAAACTTGTATGAACTTGAACTTGGCATGTCTGTGTCTGTCTCGGTAATGAAGTGGACTTTACTATTATGGACCGTCATGCTTCCATGTGAAGAAGGGACTCTCTTGAGAACACAGGGTCGGTGGAGGCAGGATTGTTTACCATCCATCGTCCTTGGTGATGAGCCTCTAGTGGGTTGGCTGCGCCTTGGCAACGGACTGAAGTGTTTCTGAGCTCTGGGCATTTCAAACTCTTAAGCTTCTGTCCAAGTAGAGTGTGCTCATGTCAGAGCCTGGTATTGGGGTTCTGCAGAGCTTCTGTTAGAGCTATCTTAATGCTGGCTCTTTTTCAGAGAAAGGTCAGTTATCAGGACTTACCTGAGGCTCTGGTATGTACCTCAGTGCCTTGTTCCTCTGTATGTAGTTTATTTGGTTTTCTTGGATGCTGGGCCTTCTTTTCTAAGGAAAAATATCCTTAATTCTGGTTCCCCTCTCTTCCCCCCCAGTTATTGATTTGCCAATCATTTACATAACTAATTTGGGATGGACAACTCACCTTCGTTGGTATGCGTGCCTTACTCTCCCTTCGCCAGAGCTCCCCTGTGCATTCTTGACTTCATGCAAATGCTCGGCTGATAAAAGTGCTGTCTGTATTTGCACTCTTTATACTATAGTGCTTATAAGCAGTGGGGTTGGAATCAGATTGAGTGCCCTGCCTCAGAGCTCAGGGCAGGTCTTAGCCTCCCAGAGCCCCAGCTCCCTGGTGCATCAACCCTGCAGGGCTGCTGTGAGGGGCTGATGAGTGAATACATTATACTAGCAGGAGGCTCATTAGGAGGCTGCAACTGTCATGATGATGATGATGATGATAAAAATGCACACATACAGAGGATGAGAGAAAATGTCATCATTGTAAAAGAAAAATCTTAATTTGCTGGGTTTAAGCACCCAAAGTAAATGGTTCCTTCCTTGGGAATTATCTGGAGAGGACACAGCTTTGCACACAGAGGTGGCCTTCCTAGAAATATTGTAGATCATCTAAACAATTAGGAAAGTATTCCCAGCAACAGAGTAACTCTGTTTTCCTTTCAATGGTGTATTTTGTAGCCATTGTAGGTATTTGCAAACAGTTGTATTGACAATAAAGGCAACAAATGCTTTCATTTTAGCCAGAGGTGAGAAATAGGATGGGTGTAGAAAGGGGCATGCTAGTGTTCATCTATGTGAATATCCACAGTGAAGAAAAAGACCCCAGAGCCTGCATCATACGGAGGCTCCAGCATTGACTGTCACTCAGCAGAGGCGTGATGGACAATTGCCGCTTCTTTTGTTGTGGTTGAAGTTTCTAACCTTTTTAAAATGAATGTTACATTTACAATCAGGAAGTTACTAACGCATACTACTATCTCAGAGGTAGCTGAATTACTGGATTTCCTAAGCTCTAGATATTAGGCCTTGATCCCTTCAGCTTTCTTTCCCCCCAGTGCATTTATGCAGATATGTACTGAGGGTCTCTTCTGCGTGCTAGGACCTCAGGAGATGAGCAGATGAACAAGGTGCAGACATAATCATCAGGGAGCTTTAGGGCTTGAGATCAGGTTATCTGCCCCTAACAGCATTTAGACAATGTGGAAAATGTCCAACTCTACCATGTACAATAGCATCAAAAAACGTCAAATACCTTAGGAATAAACCTAACAGAGGATGTGCAAAACCTTTATCCAGCAAACTCTGAAAGCAATGTAGTCCCTGTCACGTTATTCGATGGCAAAGATGTCCATTCTCTCCATATTTAGCAGCAGATGTAGGGCAATGTAAAAGGGACTCTTAGCAGGTATTTTTGTGGAAATTTGGAGGTGATTTTTAAATTTATATGGAGAGGCAAAGCATCTAAAATAGCCAATGTAATGCTGGAAAAGCAGCAGGAGAGAGTTACAGGACTTACGTGATCACCTAGCAAGATTTACTGTACACTGCAGTCACCTGGCACATGGTGTTGGCACAGAGGCAGATGACCCAATGAATGGCCCTGGAGCACCCAGAAGGAGCCCCACACGCATAGTCATCTGATGAATGGCAAACGTGATGCTGGAGGGAGTGGGAGAAGTGAGGACCTTTTCAGTAGGTGTTGCTGAGTCAACTAGTTTCCCATATAGAAACAGCAAATTTGGTCAATACCGTAAAACACACACAGATTGTTCCAGATGTACTCTAAGTCCAGAGGCAAAGGTAAAACAGTAACTTTTAAATAAGAAAACAATATTTCTTTATGACCTTAGGGTAGGTAAGGATTTCTTTTTTTAAAATTTGTTTATTTATATATGCATAGAAGAACTGGGGTACACCTGCAGGGGGTGAGAGATTCTCCAGAGAGAGTGGAGCAGAACAAATGGATCTACTGAAATACACTGCTAGGGGGAGCAGCGGAAGAGACAGGAGAGGTCTGTTATGCCATCTGTGGGTCAGCTCCCTGGCCGAGATCGAACTTGTGCTGCAGTGGTGATAGCTTCATAGTGCTAAGACTTAACCCCTATACCACCAGGGAAGCCCGGTAAGAATTTGTTAAGCAAGATACAAAATACACAATCCAAGGGAAAGACTGATAACTCAGACTGCATTAAAATCATCAAAAAACCACTGCAGAGAGTAAAAGGCACATCATATTCAGAAAGGATACATACTTGTGTTCAGAACACACACAGAGCTCGATCAGCAAATGACACCTAATAAGAAATGAGCAAAAGTCTTGCATAGGCACTTCACAAAAGCAGATATTCAAGTAGCCCATAACATCTGAAAAAGTGCTCAACTTTGTCTATGTTCAGGACATAAAACGCCAATGTGATATCACCATTTACCTGCCATATTGCCCTCCTTCCCGCCCCCCTGCAAAAAAGGCAAGGATAGCAAGATTTGGAGAGGTCTGGCTCTCAGACCAAGTCTCTGGCCATCAGGCAGTGGGCCAGCTGCGCATACCCCCCAGCTGCTGTCCATGTGCTAACCACATGCGTGTCCCAGTTATTCCCAGTAGGAGGATCACAGAGCCAGACCCTGTACCGCACTTGGAACTCCTAGAATCTTCTTTCAGGACTTAACCATCTGCCCTTTCCCCGGGTTTGTTTGTAAGGGCCTCATAGTTACTAGACTTTTTTTTTGCAGAGATTACTGAACAAAAGCGATGATGAGAACAGCAACAGAAGTGTGATAGCACATTATCCTGCAGGCAGGGCAACACCAGCTGGGAAGGCTGCCTCTGCGCTGCACAGTGGGCAGTGCCTGTCGCCAGGACATGGGCATGGGGCACGCTGTGGCCTGCATGGTGCAGGGGTTCTCAGGCTTTCGTGGGCACTGGAGGCTCTGGAGTCAGATTCTGTGGGTCGTGTTCTATGATCCTGGTGTGAGGAGCTAGGATCTGCAGCTTCAACGGGTGATTCTGATGTGGGGAGCCCATGAATCCCCATCTGAAAAACTGCACTTTGAGCCTTTGGGGGCAGATGAATGGAGGTGAGATTCACAAGTGGTTCCCTAGTGTTTCTTCCCAGGCTTCGGTTTAGTGCTGTGGCGTTTCCTCCCACAGGGGCCCTGCTGGTAGATTTAGATGCAGGTGGAAGAGTTTTCTGTTTGGAGGCTCTTCCAGGTATTGTGTTTTGAAAGTTGCAAGCAATTTTTAATTACTTTAACAATTAAATGACATTATACTGTGTCTTTAAAATATAATAAATAGTAACAATACTAATCAATAAAGCCCAGCCCCCTTAGGCTGCAGATTGCTCCTTATTGTTGCATTGGAAAGGTTGTGCTGCTTTACATCTTAGCCGTTGTTAGAGAGCCAGTGGGATAATCCTGTCTCTGTCTCCCAGCCTTGCTCTCACCCGCCCCCACCCCAAGCTGCAGGTGGTCATAAAAGACGACAGGAGGTGCGTTGTCCTGAGTCACCTTTTCCCCCCCAAGCCGTGACAGCAGAAATTGCTTCCTTCTGTGTGCTGGAGAAGCCATCTCTTGAAAGCAGTGCTCCTAGGGTGCCCGACCGGCCTTCACGCTGCTCAGGACTGGCCTCATCAAGTCCTTCGGTTCTCCGCACCACCAGCAGAGGGCCTAGAGACCTGGACTGGGTCTGCCTGTCTCTGTCCAAGTGGCTGGCACAGGTCTGGAGCAGGTCTGGAGCAGTGTAGACCTTCTAGACCCATCTGGTGGGTGAAGTGCAGTCTCCTAGGCTCTCAAGTCCACATGACTTTGTGAATTCAGTCACCTGCATTCAGCAAATAGGATCATTGCCCTTGAACTGCAAGCCCCACTTTTGATGGGTGCTCTGTCCTTTGTGGGGTATCCCCATGATTTTTGCTTCAGCTGCTGGCTTTGAACCAATCCTTGCTGAGACTCCACCTATCTAAGTCTGCATCGTCTGGGCTGCGGGTCTTTCCTTAGGCCTTCAGCCCTGAGCCGTGTGTCTCCACTTACTCCCCCCGTATCATGATCATCAGGGAAGCATGTGATGAGGCCAAAGCATGGTCTTCCCCTAGTCCTACTGAATCTGAATCTCCGGGTGCGCTCTAGCGCCCCTTGCTTTGTCCGGCTCTCCAGTGACCCTCCTGGCCCCTGAAGTTTGAGGTGACTGTCTTCACGGGCTTAAAGATTCTCTCATCTCCATTTGTGTTGCTGTGTTCCTGGCTATTTAATTCTTTCAAGCACTGTCTGCCATTGGTCTTGGCCAGTGAATTATGTCACATGTGAACGGGAAATAGCTAACCAAATCTGAGAAAGCATAAGCGAATTATCCCCAAAATGTTCCTTGTGATCGCAGAGCCTGGCTTTCACTTTAGTTGCTAAACTTTAATTTCCTTCCCTTTCTCTTAGATATCTGTACCATGTTTTGACCAAAAACACCACAGTCACAGAACAGAACCGGAACCTGCTAGTGGAGACCATCCGTTCCATCACCGAGATCCTGATTTGGGGAGACCAGAATGACAGCTCTGTGTTTGAGTAAGGGTTTCTGATGTTTTTTTCATGTTTTGGTTCTTCTTCACCCTTCAAATATTTTTCTAAATGTACACCATGAGTCACTCCTGATGATGTCAGGATTTGACGCCAATTTGGTCTCGCATAGATATCTATCTATATCTGTTTCTGTCTGTGTACGGTGTCCTTGAAATGCTAGAAATGCAAGCGGAACATGAGAAAGTTCTGGAAATGGGTGTCTCTAGACAATCTGAAAATATCATGGGTAATTTTCCCAGTGGTGTCTGATGATCTCCTCAGAGGAAGGAGAAAATGTCCTGGTAGTCAGGTCCTGAGGGACTAGAAGGACCCTGCCTGGCCCAGCTGAGCCGGGTCTCCCAGCCAGCCACCCCAGGGTACCCACTGTCCATTTGCTCTCTGTGTCACACAGCTGGTGAGTGATAGGGCCGCTCTCACACCTAAGCCCTGGGGTTAGCTCCTCTTTCCATACTTCCAAGGAGAGCCACCTTCAACCAGGCTCACCTCTCCGAGCCTCGGTTTCCTTGTCTTCAAAGCAGAGAAAGTTCCCGTGCAGTGACAGGTACAGGGTAGGCACTCAAGAAATGTAGCAGATGATCATAAAGATGGTGTTCCTATTGGGTAATTAAGAAGAAGGGCCTTAAACCATGACTTCCTCCCTGACAGACCTGTCTCAAGGTCTGTGTGCACAAGGATGTGGGTTATGACCACCACCAAACACAGATTTTATATCAGGTACTTTAATTACAAATTCTGAGGCCACCTAAAGGACCCACTCAAGGCTAGGAAAGGTGCTCCTTGTCCAACCTGGCTTGATGTGCGATGGCCTGATTTTCTAGATAACTCCATGTTTCATCAGTAAGGCTATCAAAGCAACACTACTTGTGGGGAATGCAGACTCTTAAATGCAAATATGCGATAATGGCCTTGACCCCCAGAGGAAGCCAGGAATAGTCAAGTGAGGTGTTGCTCGTAAATGGGACTAGCTTCCTCTACACTTTTTAATTTTTTTTATTTTACGTATTTTTTACATTATTTTTCATTTTTGCACAATGTATGCATTTTCATCCTGGTTATAGTCCCCGTACAATTTCCAAGGACTAGCTTCCTCTAAAGGGACTAGATCCTGGGAAATGTATTGTTGGTAGTGGTTGTTTTGGAATTGAGAAAGACCTTTGAGTTCAAGATGTGAAGCCCGACCCCTCTGCTCACACAGATTATCCCAGCTTAGCTCTCATCTTAGAAAAACCCCAGAGTTTGTAGTGGTGGCCCAGTGACTCTGCCCAATAGAATCCCCAAAGAGTCTATTGTAAATTGCGTTTGTAAATTGTGGAATAATTTTAGATTTACTGAAAAGTTATGATGATAGCACAGAAAGTCCCCACATCTCCCACTTTCCCCCATGGCCGCTCTCTTATGGTACCAGAACGTGTTTGTCGAGAAGGAGGTGCTGACATGGGGTCTGGTTGTTAAGCGGCCTCCATTTTTCCCATTCAGATTCTCTTTTGCTCCCGGATCCCAATCCAGACTCCCGTGGTGCAGTTAGTTGTCACATGTCCTGGGTCTGCCCTCTGTTCTTAGTCTTCCCGGGTTGACTGCCAGCAAAAATTTGACTTGGAATGGGCTGGGTACCCACCTCTTTCCATGCAGAAACAACAAACTGGACAATTTGAAAATCAAAACTTTTTGAATATTCAGCCTTCTCTTGCCCCTTTGTAGGGAATTCCAGTTGATTAACACTCAGGGGTACCTATGGAGAGCAAAAGAAAAATGCTTAACTAGGAAAAGTAGGACATAAAACAGAGGATAGAAAGTGTGGTTTGTTGGGGATAGTTGGGTGACTGTGTGGTCCTTGGTAGGAAGGTGCTGGAAATGTTGCATTTTCTTTTTGACGGAAGACGGGGCTGGAGAGTTGGAGTGTACACATGCCGGAGCCCTGTGGGTGGGGAGACCTGGCCTAGCTGTGGGTGCCTTCCTGGGGAGGGGTCACCTGAGCGCTTGGAATGTACATAGAGGATGCTTGGGATTCCAGGTGGGGAAGCCAGCCACTGACGCTGTCCCGTTCTCCCCACAGCTTCTTCCTGGAGAAGAACATGTTCGTTTTCTTCCTGAACATCCTGCGGCAGAAGTCAGGCCGCTATGTGTGTGTGCAGCTGCTGCAGACCTTGAACATCCTCTTTGAGAACATCAGCCACGAGACCTCACTTTGTAAGGACAGCCTTTATGCGCGCCTCTGCCCCCTGAGCGTCACAGCTGCCTCGGGGCTTCATGTTGTGTCTCCAGTGTCTGTGCTTATGTGTGTCTTAGTGGGCTTGGGCCACCATAACCAAAGACCCCTGGGTGACTTAGGCAACAGAGGCTTGTCTCACTGTCTGGAGGTTACAAGTCCAAGTTCAAGGTGCTGTCAGGGTTGGTCCTGCCGCGGCCTCTTTTCCTGGTTTGCCCATGGCTGCCTTCTCTGTGTCTCACAGCACCTTTTCCTCTGTGCCCAAGGAGGGAGGGGGGAGTGGAAAGAGGTAGAAGGGAGCAGAGCTGGTGTCTCTTCCCTTATGAGGACACAGGTCCTGTTGGATTAGGACCCTACTCACTGACCTCATTTGACCTTGATTTCCCCCATAAAGGCCCCATCTTCCAGTATAGTCACACCGAGAGTTAGGGCTTCAATGTATGAATTTGGGGCACATAGTTTAGTCCATAACACCTCGTTTGTCCCTGCATGGTGGGATACTGTGAGGGGCCAAGAGAGGGCTTCCCTCTGCTTAATGATTTTGGGGGGTAGTATCCATTTCTGCTTTATAATTTATTATTAAAGAGTGGGTCGGGGGTCACTGAATAGGCAGCCAGTGGAATAAGCCTCAGAGCAGCAGGGTGAGGAGGAGCTCAGCCAAGGAAAGTGCTACAGCGTGGGCTATGGCTCCCACCCCGGCCGCTGCAGTCCCTGTGCCCTCGCCAGGTCCCCGTTCTGCACCCGAGGCAACCACCCCGACAGGTGAGCACTGTTTAGCAGTGCGGAGAGGTTGGGTTTAACAGCAGAGAGGCTGGGTCATCAGCCAAGGTGACAGCTGTAGTAAGGCCAGGCCTGGCTCGTGTGCTCCTCAGCTGGGAGAGACTGTGACCCGAAGAGACCTTTGTCAGTAGCTTAGAGCTTTTCTTGTATGGGGTGGGGGGTGCTACAGGCATCTTGTGGGTAAGTCCAGGATGCTGCTAGATATCCCACAGTGCACAGGACACCCCCCCGCAAAGGATTATCTAGCCCAAAATGTCAGCAGTCCCCAGGCTGGTTGGGTGGATCCCAATCCTGTGCTTGCCCCTTGCTTTATTGTTCCAAGAGGACCGAACCAAGCCCCAGCCCCTGCCCACGAGAAGTAGAGAGAGAAGATGAGGAATGGAATCGCTGTCAGGAGCGGAATTTAGGTCCCCAAGACAGTGTCTGGAAGTGGAAAGAGGGAGAGATGGTGGCAGTTCCTGGCGGTGGAAGGAGGGCGAGATGGTGGGCGTCCCCCTGGGGACAGGGGGCCGTGTCCTAGGGAGGCAGGCCTGGGAGGTTGATGGAGGCTGAGTGGTGGCTCTGGGAGCAGCCACTAGATGGTGCTGCTGCGCCAGGAGCGGCGTCTCTCCTTCCCAGAGAATGGCAAGTTGACAAGTGCGCCGTTGACTCACTAGCTACCTGCGTGGTTTCCCTGGTTAATCAGTCGTCAGGCTGGATATGAATCGCGTGCGGTCTCTGAAAACTCCGTGAGGGGAAGACCCAGCTCAGGGGTACAGGCCCTGGCCTCAGACTCAACTGGGCCCCACACGCAGTTCTGCCGCTTTCTCCCCAAATGCCCTGGAGAGTGAACTTTCCAAGCTGTAGTTTCTGCCGCCGGAGTGGAGATACTGACAGAACCTGGGAGTGGAGCGGCTTGAGGGCTGAGTGTGATGGCTGTGTGGAGAGCAGCGCAGAGGCTGGTGGATGCCAGTGCCCGCTAGAGTTGGTTTTACCATTAAATCTGCCTCCCCTCCTCCCCCTATCTGCTCTCTGGTAACCTTTCTAGGCCCAGCTAGCCACAGGGCTGCCTCACTGAAGGTGGGGGTCAGGGCCACAAAGGTTTCTGGGGTTTTAAGATCATATGGCCTTCATTGTACAGCAGGTCTCTAAAGGCATCTTTTTTGTGATAGCGTCAATGAGAAAAACACATTCCCAGCTGACGCTGAATGAAATGACATTACTCAGGACTCTGCTTTCATCACATGTTGTTTTGCTTAAAGTTAGCTTCCAACTGACAGCGCTGAAAGAGGACTTAATGTGCTAGGACTAAACGAGGAAGAAACCCGGGCAGGTGCCTTTAGCACTACAGGGAATTCACCCTTCATTAGGCACAAAATCAGCAAAAACTGCTGCCTGTTTACAACAGGTGGATTTGGCGGGGGTGGTGTGTGTGTGACAAGGATTGCCCTTTTATGTCTGTTTTCTAATTATAGAAAGAAAATGTCCTTATTATAAAACAGCAACAAAATCGAGCACTACAAATTATAGAAAGCACAGCTTCTGTGCAATCACTGACGGTTCAGTCCCCACCTGCCCACGTATCTTAGACCCTCCACATCCTGTGTCCCTGCCTCATTTGGCATAAGAGCTGCATCTCGCTGGGCCAAACTTATTTAACTGACCATGGGCATTTAGGTGGTTTCCAAATTTTCACTATTACAAACTGCCATTTTACAAGTGCACCTGCTGCCCGTTGGGTGTGTAACCTGAGTCAGAGGCCCGAGGGACTGAGGTCGCAGACAGATTCCTGGGTTTGTTATAAAAGGCTGCCACAAAAGGCTGACCACATGGTAAGGGTGGAGTAGAAAAGTCCCTGCCAAATAATAGAGGCATCTCCGCTGCTCCTCCATTGGCCCCCAGCACCCACGCTGTCATCTCGTGGAGGCCCTGGAAAAAGTCCCTGCCGGGGAAAGCTTGGAGCATGTGGCTGTTCCAGTTCGATGCAGCCCAGAGGTTCCTGCCAGCAGATCTAGGCTGCCCGCGCAGGCGTCTGTGCCACTGGGGCCCGGGCACTGCTACCAGCCACCATGGGGCTCACAGCGGTGTCTCACCAGCCCCCGCCTCTGTGCCAGCCAGATAGCACAGTGTCCCTGGGCTGCTGTCATAGGGTAGTTCCAGGTGGGCAGGTTGAGGCTTCTCCAGAGTTACTGTCACACGGCACAGAGCAAAAAGGAAGGCCCTCCACCACTAGCAACCTCGCCCTCACTGGCGTGCAAGCAGAAGGAGCCAGGTACACAGAAGTGTGCGTGCTATTTGGTGCATGTGGGAAGCAGAAGTGCATGGAGACAGGGTCATCTTTGGACAGGGAGCTTCTGGGAAGCGGCCCATTGGGTGGTGTTTGGAGGTGCATATACTGCAAAAGTTCATCCAGCTGGGCCCCTAAAATTTAGAGGAATGTGTATGTAAAGTATAAAGTCACAAGGACTTAAGATTCAGATCTATGTACAATTCTAGTAAATCAAGCCAAGCTTAGAGCATCCTCACCCCAGACCCACGGCCACGGCCACCTCTGTGCAGGGGGCCTGAGAGCTCTTCAGGGAGTGTTAGAATCGGGACTGGTCACCCTACGAACTTCTAGGCCTGTCTGCGTGTCTCCTGTGAGCCCGCCAGTGTGCTGTTCTGGACCCCTCCCATGCCCCCTGCTCCTGGAAGGCTGTTCTTGTCTATTTTGGTGATTCCAGGCAGTCTTCCAGTTACACTTCGAATGGCCTAGGTTAAGGAGCTCTTTGGCACCAAATAACTTCATGGGTATTTCTGATTCACCCACGAGCACTCTGTTTGGTCTTAGAATATGATGATGGAGGTCAGGACTCCCCAGGTGACAGTAACACAGGGGAAGCTGCTATGGGGGGAGCGCTTGCTCTGTGCCCCCCACTATCTCGCTCCCTTCATCTGCACGAAACCCTGGGAGAAAGGTACCAGCGTTGCAGCTTTCAGACCGGGAACCTGGCTGGTGGTGACGCACCGTGGCTTGCCCCGAGTCGCTCAGCTGGGCGGCTGGAAAGTGGCACAGGCCCGTGGTCAAGTCCAGTGCCTCTCAAACATGAGCACGATGGAACCGCTCCTAACAGGCCTGGCCCACAAAGAGCCCACGGGCCAACGATGCACATGGCTGACGAGCTCCAGGCCTTGAGACTGCCAGGCCAGACTGTGGGGGAGCTCGAAGCTCCCTACCCCCCTTACTATCTACCCACCATGTGCAGGCGTTGCCTCTTCAGCTTTTACCTATCTATGCGGTGCCTGGTGGACGGACAGAGTACCCAGAATGGCAGTGCAGGACAGGCCTGGTGTGAGCCGGCTCCCAGGCTCAGCGGGTCTCTAGACCTGCCTTGGTGGGTCAGCACAGCTGTAACAGCCAGCTCATCTGTGGCAGAACATACAGAACAGCCCACCCTCTGCAGAATATAGGGGTTCCCGGCGGGGACAGAGGCAGGCCATGGTAGGTAAGGGCCTCGGCAGCGTTGCTGGTGGTGGGGCAAGCACATGCCCCTGTCAGGTGTGAAGGTGTCCTCTGAGATTACAGTGAGGTGAATGAATGGTAAATCAGTAAAACTAGTTTTTTAAACAAAGCTAGTTGATCTGGTGGCAGCATTTGCAATCAGGAGGTACACCTTGACCTTGGCTTTCCAGCCTCCCTCACACAGTCAGACCCCGTCACCATTCAGGCCTGCATTTCTACAGGACCCGAGCACGGGGGGCTGGGAGGAGGCGACCATTCTAGTTGGCCCCCAGGGCCCACAGCCCTCGTCACCCAGTTTTCCTTGGTGGTCCCTGTTAGTGCCTGGCACCACAGGCTCTGCCATCAGACCTCAGTTCAAATCCCATCTCTGTGACTTATCATCTCTGTGTTCTCAGGCGAGTCAGTCAACCTCTCGGTGTCTTTTTCCTCTCTGCTAACTGGGAAGCCCGGGACCTCGTCGGCAGTTGGGTCCCGAGGGTTGATGGGAAGCCCTCAGCCTGTGGCCTAGGAGTTCATCATCTAAAGGGCCTTTTTTGAAAGCACGTGGCTCCTTAGGGAGAAGGAAGCCACACTCAGCCCTCTGTGGCATTCAGGGATGATGGTGTGACTTTTGATGGCAAAGGGGGACAGCTTTTTATAGCCCACAGTGCTCTTTACCCTTGTGTGTGTGGGGGTGGTTTGTGAAAACACCCACGTACCAGCTCGTCTTCCCCACCCCCAGCTCTCGAGTTGAACATTGCCAGCAAAGAAAGAAAATGTTGGAGTGTTTTCTTGTATTTGGTGTGGGAGGGAGGGGTGGCCTGGCCTTTCTAAGGCATTGCTCTTGAACTCTCTAGGGGCCAGGCACAGGGGCAGCTTGCTTTGCTGGTTAAAGCTTCAGCTGCTCTGAGTTCACTTGTTGAACCCCAGCCACCCAGAAGGAAGCTGGGCTGGCGCCAGCAGGCTCCAGGGCCCTGGGCTTTTCCCCCTGGCTGGCTCTGCCACACTTCCTCCAGCACCATTAACTTGTGTCCCGCTTGTTTGTTTTTCTCCCTCTAGATTATTTGCTCTCTAATAACTATGTCAATTCTATCATTGTCCATAAGTTTGACTTTTCCGATGAGGAGATTATGGCATATTATATATCATTCCTGAAAACCCTCTCGTTAAAACTCAACAACCACACCGTCCACTTCTTTTACAATGAGGTGAGTAACTGCCGGAGGGGCACCTGTGGGTGGCCAGTCAGAGCCGCCTTCCGTGGGGTGGCTGTGGATCTGCTTCCAAAGCCCTTACACATGCGCTCTTACCTGAGCCTCAGAGCGGTTCTCTTTGGCCTGGGCATGCATCGAAAGGTTTCATTTTAAAGTTTAACCACTTACCCCTCTATTTTTAACACACAGTTCCATTTGTGTTACCTGGTGGGGAGAAGTTCCCGGAAGTTGCTCAGGGTTATGTTGCCCTGGGAAGAAACAGGAAGTCCAGTCCGAACTGACTGGTCACTTCCCTGGTCTGTGGCCTTAGACAAGTCCCTGTCCTCTGAGCCTCAGTTTCCTTGTCTGAGAAATGGGCATGAGAGCATGCCCTTGTAAGGGTTTCCGAGGATCTAATTAAATGAAAGGAAGTCTTCAAGCCTCCCAGTATGAACCTGGCTCCCTAAAAGCATAGCCATTGCTGCCCTTTACAAGCCAACATCCCAGGTATTCCTTGGGAGAAATACGAGCAACTTAAATACATAAATTGCTGCTGCTGTCATAATTAAAAGGCCCTTGAATGATAAGGTCCCCAGAGGTTCAGATGTTGCTCTTTGGGGCTGGCTCATTCATGGCTCAACCACTTCATCTGGGGTCCAGGAGTTTCCAGCTTCCTGCTGTGCTGACCATACAGCTGGCCTCTGTCCTCAGGCTCGATGCCTCATGGCCTCAGGATGGCTGCAGCAGTTCCAAACATCACACGCCACTGCGGGAAAGCCTGATGAAATCACTTCCCTTCCTGTGTCCCGTTTTATCTTCCAAATAACTTCTTCCCAGAAGCCTCCCAGTGGACTTTCTCTTATGTCGCACTGGTCAGAACTCTGTCACATTTCTCCCCAAGTATGTTGGGAATTAGGGAGCAGCCTGGTAGGCTGCTCAGTTCAGGCTCAGTCATGAGGCTGTGTTATCCAGAGGTTGGATTGGGGCTGATGATCTGCTTCTGAGATGGCTCACGCCTTTGCCTAGTGAGGTGGTGCTGGCTGTCGGCCAGAGGCCTTGGTGACGCAGCCTTCCCCAAGCGTCCTCATGGTATGGTGGTTGGTTTTTCTCAGAACAAATGACCCAGGAGACTGATGCAAGCCTTGATGCCTTTATGACCCAGCCTCAGAGGACACATCACTTCTGCCATATTCTTTAGGCCTCACAGGGCTGCCCTATCTCAGTGTGTGGGAGGAGGACACAAGTAGGTGGACACAGGAGGTGAGGACCGCCGGGCCAACTTGGAGGCCAGATTCCACCCAGCCACCTAGTGTTTGTGTGCGTGGAGTGTCCTCCGATGGGTGCCCGCGGCACTGGGCGGGCCTGTACTGGGAGCCAGCCCCTAACCCCACACAGATCTGAGTTAGGGCAAAAGCCATCCTGCTGTCCCCAGATGACGTGGCAGAAGTCCCCTACATCTTGATTTTCTCTGTCCAGATTACTTGTGTGAGTGTGGGAAGAGCTGGCCTCAGATGGACGAAGTGCTAACTGCCAACCATCAAATTTGTGGCAGCTTGAAAAATTAATATTGTATGGCCCCTAGCCACGCATGGCAGGTACTCAGGCACATGTCCCAGGACAGATGACCCACCTGCCGAGTCTGGCTAGAGAGGGGCCAGGTTCTCCCCGACCCGGGTGAGCTGTGCTCCTCTGTACTGATTGGGAGGGCAGAATGCTGGGATTTTGAAGCTAGAGCAAAGTTTCTGGAAGAACGCCCTGTGGTCTTTAAAGCAGCGGTGAGCTTTAGAGCAAGCTCACCTCTTGGTTTCCTCCTACGTGGCTACTGCAGCAGCTCATACTTGTTAAGGGTATACTTGCCTCCTCGTGCTCACAGTGGCCCTGTCCTCAGGAGACAGTTGTCACTTTCCTGGAACTTGACTGTCACCTCTCCCCCACACTCAGCCTGCGGGTGCCCTCCCGGGGAATCCAGAGGCATGTGGAGTCGGGCCAGCAGAGGGCAGCAGAGCAGCACCCTGTGTCTCTAGGCCCAGCTCCTGATGTACTTCAAAGGCTCCCCGGGTGGAGTTCTGTGGTTCTGAACCATTTCTGTCCATTCTGATGATCCCTTTTTAACGTCAGAAGATTCCTGAGCTCCTCTTTCTCCATGATAATGTTTACAGTCTCCTATTTCCAAATAGAGAAATTTATAATAGCCAGGGATTCCAGTCGCAGTCACACTTCATGCTTGCCTTGTCAGTTGATGCTTTGTCAGTCGATGGAGCCTCCAGGGGTGACAGCAACCTTATTCCCCAGAACTCATTAGGAATTAGGCCCGGGCTAAGCACTGCACCGGAAATGATCTCATTTAATACCTCTGACCATAAAGTGCAAGGTATTTATCCCCATTTTAAAGACAGACAGACACTTAGGAACATTCCATCACGCCGCTAAGAAGTGGTGTCACGGATCGCCAACCAGCCTGGTGCTGTCTGAACGTTTTCTGTTTCTTCCATGGTCTTGTCACCCATCCCTTCTCATGTTCCCCACTGGGAAGGAACCACTGACTTCAAGTTCACTTTGGTAACTTTTTATGTCTTTTATTGGCATCTCTGCTAGGATTCAAAAGGCAGGGGGGCAGGCCTGTCTCAGGGGTTTGCAACTAATTCTCGGTTCTTTGGTTTTAGCACACAAATGACTTTGCCTTGTATACAGAAGCTATCAAATTTTTCAACCACCCTGAAAGCATGGTTAGAATTGCTGTAAGAACCATAACCTTGAACGTCTACAAAGGTAGGTTTCCTGGCAGTTCCCGCCCTGTTGGATTTTAACTTAGCAGTTAGCACTTGTGCGTGAGTCTGCCCCTACGATTCTCCAGTGGTGAGAGGGGCTCATTTATTGTTGCTTGATTGCTTATATCACCACAGGCTTGTGGTCACTGAACACTCAGCTGGCCCTTTACATTACTTTTTGTACCACGGCCTTCATGCACGCTCTGTTCTGCATGTTCAAGTCTTAGAGCCAACATGCAGAAATAGTAACACCCCACGAGAGGCACGTTGGAGCTTGTAGCCGCCATGTCATAATCAGATAAAGCAAAGTTGTCTTTGAGCGTTAGTTTTAAATTTTCATGTTTTGGCCTGTGTTTGGCCCCAGTACAGCCAGAAGGTCGGCTATCTTTTGAAAAATGTATAAAAAGCATTTCACACCGCAAACAGCAGGGGGCAGTTTTGTATTCTCAATGCAGCCAAACCCAACAACAAATCCCTCCTTTCAAGATGTACTTAATGCCCAAAACATTGCCTCCTGGAGAAGCCCTGCCACCTCCCTTGCCCACACTAGCATAGAGTCTGGCTGACACATTTCCTGAACTGAAATTGCCCTCAAAGGCAACGCCTTGGAAGTTTAATGCCTAGTAGTTATTTCTCCTGCAGTCACCACGCTGGAGCTGGGGTTCCATTTTCTCAGAGATCAAAGAACTTTGACCTTTGCTGAGTTGTGATGTCATTGCTTGAGATGACCCCAATTGGGAGGGGGCGGGAGTTCCCCAGGGACGCACTCCATCTAGTTCTGGGATTGCTTTAAACTGAAGAACTTTCTAAGAGGCCAATGAGGTCCATCTAGAGGTCACAAACTGAAGGCCTGAGAGTCGAATCCAGACTCAGACGTGTTCTAATTGGCTTAGGTGTGTTTAAAAAAATTACAGATTGGGTGATTTGGGGTAACAGTCTTCTTGGGCCTGTGCATACTCGTGATCAGACTTGAATGTGTAGATTTAGCTACTCTGGGCCCACAGCCTTACAGGGCAGTGGTGAGCTGGTGCTGAGAAGCAGCTTCTCCCTTTGGGCCCAAGAGCCATCCATGCTCCTCAGTTCACACTCTGGGTCTGTTGGCTTCACTCACTGAGTGACTAGCCACACTCAGGCTTCCGAGTTTGTGATCTGGCCGAGTCCCCGGCCAGGCCAAGCCCAAGCCCGTTCTGCTGCTGCCCCCGCTCTGTTCTCTCTTGTTCTCTTCTAACCTGTACCTTTCAGTTTAGATGAAGCCTCCCGCTCTCTCCCCCTCTGAGCAGCTATCTCGCATCTCAGCTCCTAACCCTGTTAACTGTTGTCTGTTTTTTGCCTTTCCTTCCATGACGATTCCTGTGTTCCTTATTCCAGTGTCATGTAAGTTATTAACCTCTGGTTTTCCACTTTCTTAACTTATCCTTACATGTAAATGCAGGGAACTTGCTTGAGCATGGTGTAGCCTCCTGGGTAGTCTAGCTGGCCATGCAGCTGGTACGGGTGCCCTCCAGAGCACTCTTAGGGCTAAACCGTCCGATTAACTGATTTTACTAAAGATAAAAAATAGCATAAGAACTGCCTGGATGAGATTAGTTTTGTACATAAGACAGCCATGTTCCAGTATTTCCAGGAAAGACAGAAAAGACTGAGATGATAGGAAAAGGCTTTTCATCGTGGTAGTGGTGCTGTTATTGTTGAATCTCTCCCAAGTTATTTTTGGTAGCGTGACTTACTTTCTCTTCTTTTGTGGATTTTCTCAGTGGATAACCAGGCCATGCTGCACTATATCAGAGATAAAACGGCCGTCCCTTACTTCTCCAACTTGGTCTGGTTCATCGGGAGCCACGTGATCGAACTTGATAACTGTGTGCAGACTGATGAGGAGTAAGTGACCTCCGCGTGCTTATTAGGTAGACAGAGTGACTGTAAGGGGAGCATTTTTATTGGGGACCAGTAAACACTAGGATAAAATGTCCTCATCTGCATGTGGGCAGATGTGGATTTCTGTGCTCTAAAAGGTGCTGCCTGCCTGTTTGGATCAGTGGAGAGCTGGAAACAAGTATCTCCCAGAGGGAATGAGGTCACTGAATGCAACACACCCTTAGATGGGCTGCCAGGCAGCTGGCACACAGTAGGTGCTCAATGAAAAGATAAACGTTACCCAGCTACTGATGCATGAACAGTCGGGGTACGGTAGACCACACTGCGTGGAGCCCTGTCTGGCAGCACAGAGGAGCGAGGCACCCTCTGCAAACCTAGGACTTTGGAAGCTCTCTAGTAAGAGAAAGAAGCCAGATGCCAAGGCCCACAGACATGTGGTTCTGTTTCTAGGAAATGCCCAGAATAGGCCCATCGAGACAGAGAGGGTGAATGCTTTCCTGCCACTGGGGTTGGGGTGGGGTTGTCATGGGAGAAATGGGAACCACTAGCTATGAGTAGGGGCCTGGTTGGGTGGGGAGGTGATAAAAGCGTTGCTGGTTGTGCTGGTGGCTGGGTCGCTGGCACTGTACCAAAAACCATTCAAGTCACATTAAATGGGTAGATTTTATGGCATGTGAACTGTATCTCAATCGTTGTGGGTTTTTTTTTTTTTGTTTGTTTGGTTTTTTTTTTTAAGTGATTAGGATGGTGATTTGGGGTGATGAGTAGAAGTTCCAAAGTGGGATTTCTTACCCTTGGCCCTGTGTCATGGGGCGATGGGATGCATGTCGGAGGGTGCGCAGTATCCCTGGCTCCATCCACTCGAAGCCAGTAGCACCTCCCCGGGTTGTGACAACCAGAAATATCTCCAGACTTGGCCAAATGTCTCCTTTAAGGCCAAGTCAACTGAGAATCACGGCCCCAGATCGGCAGCCCCACACAGACCTGGGGAAGGCACAGTGGACAAGATCAGGCCACCCAAGGGACTTGGGAGGAGGGCTGCTGGGGGAGGAGCTAGGCAAGGTAGAATATTTGTCCCCACTTTGGGAAGGAGGTGAGGACAGGTGGCTGGCAGATGACATGGGTAGGGCGGGTCACGGGACACCTGTGAGGAAAGAACACGCAGTGACACAGGAGGGAAGTGACATCCCAGTCCTCAGTGTGGCGAGCAGTTTCGATAAGTGGACACTGGTCACTGGCGGCCACTGGGGGAGGGCGGAGGGGACACCAAGAGCTCTGTCAACAGCTAGTAGCAGAGACGACTCCATGCCAAGTAGAAGTCCTGTAGATTTATAGCCATTGGGGAGGGGCTCCCCACTAAAGAGCTAAATAAAACCTGCCTCCCCCGGAGAACAGGCAGGCTGGGGAGTTGGCCAGGAGCTGCTGGTTTTCATTACCAGCTTGATTTTTAAACCATCTGCACTTGTAACTTTGATAAGATTCCTTTTAACTGAAGGCTTCAAAGGTAAAGTGTATTAAATATTCTACCAAAGAAACATTTCCATAGTTATTTTATTAAGTGGGGGAAAAGTTTGCAAAATGTGTATAAAGCGTTCCAGGCCTTGGGTGGGCAGTGGGTCCAGGGTATGCGTCACCTCAGGCATCACAGCATGTCCTTGCTAGACACATCTACTGAATAGCACCTGCAAGTGTAATAAGGAATAATTATCCAGTCATGTAAGAGGAGCAAAAACGATCCTGTCTTTGTTTCCCGAAAGCATGACAGTTAGATGCACAGGTAGATGTGCATCCCGAAAGCGTGACGGTTAGAGGCACAGGTAGGTAACACCTGTGCTTTGACATCGGTACAGGGAGACCCAGAAATACAGAGACTTGGGCTGCAGGCTCCCAAGGCCCCAAATGCTAGGTCATGGTGGGGCTTTCAGAGATTTTGATTTCTTTTTGCTTTCATTTTTTTCTTTTTTGTCTTCTAAAATGGCCCTCTATTACTTGGGTGATAATCCTAATAAAACAAATGCGTCACTCGGCTGCTTTGCTCTTTATAGCCCTGCCATTTTGGGGATGGGGAAGGGGTGCCCACTGGCTGGCTAAGGGGTTCCATCCTTGGGCATGTGAGACTGCACCCACTTCCCCGCCTAGAGGAAACAGACCTCCTGGGGCCAGAGGGGATACCGTCCTCGCACTCTGCCTCCATCATGGCCTGAGCCCATGGGGCGGACATGGCTGCTGAGGCCTGCTTTTTTCTCGGCACGCCTCTGGAGCATTTTAATTAGCCAGGATTTATTGCCCCATTAATACCGCTTATCTTGGGTGCCAGGGGATCCTGCCACACTGGTTAGTGGCTGTTCTCGTGAAAGGGCCTGCTGTGAGCTTAGCAAGGTTTGCCTCTGTTTATCCCACTTGGTGAGGGGCGCAGGGGTGAGTTGGGCTTAGTTCCCCAGAGGGTGGGGGGAGCCCCCAGAAACCCCCTAAAATCAATTGCAGTGGACCAGATCCCACCAGTGGGGTCAGGATCAGTCTCCCTTGAGACAACCGCAGTATCTGTTGTGAGTGAACGCATGCCCGTGACTAAGTCTCAGCCACAGTTCTAGACCCAGCACGCTGTGCATCGGCTCCCAGGCTGAGGGGGCGTTTCTCTCGGCAGGCACCGCAATCGGGGCAAGCTGAGCGACCTGGTGGCCGAGCACCTGGATCACCTGCACTATCTCAACGATATCCTGATCATCAACTGCGAGTTCCTCAATGACGTACTCACCGACCACCTGCTCAACAGGCTCTTCCTGCCGCTCTACGTGTACTCACTGGAGAACCAGGACAAGGTGGGCTGGAGCCGCCCCGGCTCGGCTTCCTCAGAAGAGGAAGGACAGGCACCTTGGATAGGACCATGCTGTGTGAGGGGTTGAGGCTTTTGTTTACTTGTTTTTGATTTTAATCAAATTTGATTGATTTGCCATTCATTTCCATTCCTTATATAACAATGTGGGGAGCACAGCTCCACCCCTCAACATGTGCCCCTCCTTTCCTCACCTCCACCAGGGACTTAGGGCCTGAGCGCCATCCCTCCCAAGGCACCGGGGTTTCCTTCCCTTGCCCTTATTTCCTGAGGAGGGAGAAGCTGTAACAGTGAATGAGAAAAGAATACTGATGTCAGAAAGAAACAGGACACCTCCACGAATTTAGGTTTTTGTGTCTCTGCATCCTTCTTTTAAAGTGTTCTCATCCCCACTGGCTTTCTGCTCTTGCCAGAGCTGATTGACTTGGAGGCCATCTGGGCAACAGCAAAGGCTACACAGAATGCAGGGGCAGGGATGGACACAGCTTGCAGGCTCGGGGATGCCCGAGGGTCTTGTGCCTGTCAGAATGCACAGGGGTTCTGGTTCAGTGGGTCCAGTGATTCTGAACTGCTGGTTCTCGGTCCCCCTATGAATGCTGCTGCTTCAGGGAGGACAGGCCTTTGCCCAAGGCCTCCTGGGGTTCAGGGGCAGATGCCTCCTGGGAGGACAGGCCAGATGGTTCCTCGACAGGGGTTTTAGCCTCTGTGGATAGGTCCCAATGGGATGCAACTTTCTTTTGGCATAGAATGTGAAGATTCTTTCAAAAAATAAGTAAATAACTAGATCTACCAGAGGTAGCCCTGGGAGGCAGAGAGAAAGCACAGGTATTAAAGGCTTCGGACCTGGGTTCAAATGCTGCCCCTTCCTGAATGTCACTCTTGACCTTCTGCAAGGCAGTTCTGCTCCCTGAGCAAAAGGGTCCTGCCGCTCGTCCCAGGGTTGGTGTGAGCTGGAGCCCATTTGAAGCGCTGTATGAATGGGGGCCTTCCCAAGGCCAGAGTACCCCAAACTGCTTTTTGCCTCTGGGTTTGGAAGTTCCTTCCTGAGAACTGGCCTCTGCCCGCCCTCCCTCCACCCCCCTACCCCTGCCCCAGCTCTCAGTGCCCCTGAGGGTGGAATGGGTGTTCTTGGTGTTTGGAGGACCTGGGTCTCTTAGGCCCAGCCTCTGATCTGACTGACGGTGGAAGATTTCTCAGGTGGTACGGAATGGACCGAGGCTGGGAGTTTATCTTGCAGAGTGGACTTTGGGCTGGCCCCAGGGAAGCGCAGCCTAGGGGCGGGAGGGGGTTGGGGACAGGGCCCCTCCTGTGCTCTGGTGGCTTTGGCTTGGTGATTGTTGTGCTGACCACTTGTGTGACCGAGACCTCTTTCTCTCCCCCCATCCCCTTCGCCAGGGAGGAGAACGACCGAAAATCAGCCTGCCTGTTTCTCTCTATCTCCTGTCGCAGGTATGTTTGGCTGTTTGTCTGTGTCCCCCCCTCATTTAGGGGGTGCTTGGAGTGCTGCTGCCTTCCAGGAATTTTCCAGACCACATCGCTTCATCCTCTGTTTCAGTGTCCCCCAACTTTAAATAAATAAGAGGAAATGGGGGCTCTATTTTCCAGACGCTGAGTCAAGATGCTGGGCATCCTCTTCATAGTAGTGAATGGAAATTTAAAGACAAATGGAAAATAAATCAAACCTGGCATGGCAAAGAGCAAATAGAGTTGCTTTTTTACCATGGGGACTGAGGTTTCCAAAACAGCCAGGAATGTTCTAAATACCCTGGAAATGTGGCCTGCTTGGGTCTTGCTCACAGCCTTTTGAAAGAAGCCCCAAAACTGAGGACCCACTGTGTACAGGCACGCAGCAACCTTGGCCTAACGAATTTCCACTAACGAGGCTCTTTGGAGAGGCTTCTGTCCTGATTCTAGTTTCAGATTACCTTCTGGAAGGTATCTCATAGCAGCCTCAGTTCCCAGATTTGTGTCTTGAGCTAATTTGTCCGCCTGCCCTCTTCAACAAGTATGTTTCCTTCTCATAATTATGTAATATTTACAAGAAGGGAAAAACTCCATGGTGACCCAGTTACATAACTTTAAAAATATTTTTATTACAAGCAGTCCAGACTCTCAGGCCATCTCATTAGACTGTCAAGTAGTCAAACGTTTGACCAGAGTCCTGTTCCCACTTCTGCAGGGACGCAAGTTATTTATTCACTGTGCTAGGAGAATATCCTTCTTACTTGCTCCCTGGCTCTCCTGGAGTTTGAGGTGGCTGTCTGCCCTTGACCTGAGACGAGAGATGCAGACCCGATGGGGTCAGCCTGGGGCCTGCTCGCTGTCCACTCCTGGAGTCTTGTCCTGGGGTCTCTCGTCACCCCAGCACTCCACACTGGTATTGGGGCTTCTGAATGCCCCTTTGTCTCTTGTCACCCCAGCACTCCACACCAGAGCCCAGTGTAAGCCCCCACCTCTCCTGGCAGCTTTCTCTGCCACCTCATTATAAATCTACCGGCGTCTCCTGCTTGGGATTCTGGGAGTCTGGCAGGACCCAAGCAGGCCAGATGCTCAGCCACAGGAATCCCATGGAGAGCGCCCTCAGGATCTCCCAGCTGTCGAAGCCATGGGCAGGATCTCCTCCAGGAACCAGGGGTCAGGCACGCCTATTGTCTGAGAACCCCCATGGCCTGTTTTCTTAGTGAAGGAACAGTAACCTAATCACTTGTCTTGACGTCTCACAAAAAGTCCAGCTTGTCATCTGGTGTTCCTCAGTTTGAGTAATAGAGCCCTTCCCCTCATTCACGTTTATCATAATACCGCCAGAAGATGTGAAAATCTCCAGTCAGGTATGACTCCTGCATCTACATCCTTAAGACATACATCAAAAGTATCCTTCCAAATTACTTTACAGCTACAAAACCAAGAACATTCACATTCCTAGTGTTCACTTATGTGCCGGAGGTGCTGCCCTGCAGAAATGAATGTGTGGTGTGGACACGCCGACCCAGCTTGTGGGAGCTGGTCTGCACACACTGCTGAGCGTGGCTGACTCGCCTCGGTCTACCTTGTCCTGTGGGCCTTAGTAGCTGCTCACTGTTTGTAGACCGAAAGAAAGAATGAATAAATCATCCGTTGAGACCACGTTCATACAAGATGCACAGTAGAGACTTGGAATGAATGGACTCAGTGGTTAGATTTGGTTTTATGATTAGATGAAGTGAGGCAGTAATTCAGCCATGAGGAAGGGAAGAAACCACCACCATCACCACCACCATCATCATCACCACTACCATCATCACCACCATCATCATCACCACCATCATCACCGCCACCATCATCACCACCACCATCATCATCAGTAGCATCTAGCTGCCTACCATAGCTCTGGGCAGGGGTTAACTCTCTTGATCAGACTATGTAGTGTCCTTCATAGTCAGTATCTCTATGTTTTAAAAACAGATGTGCTTTTTTTTTTAAGTAGGTAACACATTTGTACTCAATTTGCATTGTAGTGATTTGGGGGGAACAGTATATTCACACTCTGCAGACAGTACAAAATGACACATTGGGAAACTCACCCCATCCCCCAGGCACCCGATCCCACTCCTGATGGCACCCAGTACTTACTCATTTCTGTCTTTCCTTTTTGTCCCTTAACATTTCCTCTTAAAGTTAAAAAGTTCAAAGCAATGAAAACTAAGATTTCTTTTTGCTCTTGTTCATTCTCCTGATTTCTCTTCCCAGACACAGCTCTGGTTACAGGGTTTTCCTGTGTCCTTATAGAGATGTTCTCCACAGGGGGTGCTCAGCTGCGGGGCCAGGGTGAGGTACGTCGCCCCAGGAGACCTTTAGCCACATCTCCAGACATTTTTGGTAGCCACAACTGAGGAAGGGGGTGCTGTAGGCATCTTATGGGTAGAAACCAGAGACACCGCTTAAAAATTCTACAATAGACAGAACAGCCTCTCATAACAAACAGTCACATTCCTACACTGTGCCCACACATCCCTACGCTGCCCACAACCACGCCGAGGCGGAGAGACCCATTCCCTGCGTAGCTAAGCAACTCGTACGTTCCCTTTCCCTGGCATGGGGCAGTTCCACCCCACACCGCTGCTCCGTGTTGCCTTTACGTTTCTGGATCTCTGAAGCTAAACAGGGTCAGGCCTGGTTAGTACTTGGATGAGAGACCGCCTGGGAATACCAGGTGCTGTAGGCTTTGTCTGCAGCCATAGCACCCTGAACGCTCCCAGTCTCTTCTGCCTTTACATTTTAAAACAACACAGCAGGTGTGTCTGAGCTGGGGTCACAGGTGGCTTTAATGCCTGATTCCTAAAGCCCTTCCACCAAAATTGGGCAACAGGGTGTCGTGGCGGGGCCATCTCCTACGGCCCAGTGCCTCCTGGTTTTGCATGGTGGCACGACTACGTCTGTCTCTGATTCGTGTGGCTTTTCTTCTCCACAGTTTCCACACCTCCCCACACTGCCATGGAATCCTGAAACCCACCACGGGGGTCAGAGCTCCTGCCAGCAATGGAATCTCTGTGTAGCTGCCCCTTTGCCAAGTCCTTGATTGGAACAAGATGCGCTGGCCCCTTCTCCCTGCATAACTGAAGCTTTGGGCCAGTGCCTTCTAGTCTTATCTTAATCAAATTTGACACTGAAATGCCGGTGGAGGGGAGGAGTGTGCTGGTTCGGCGGCTCCCTTCCCATGTTGCTCCACTTCGGCTGGATTTGGCTTCATCCAGCCATGAGGGACGGTCTCGCGTTAATGCACTTCCTTCCGCCAGAAAGCAGGCAGCCAAATGGGCAACACTCTGAATGAAGGCGGGGCCAAGACTTGAAGGAGATAGTGTAGCTGATTTCTCCTAAATGTGGCCCATTCTTTGGGCTTTGCATCGTAGGGATCACGGCTGAGCACAAGATGTATGTAGCCCAGCCTGGTGGCTTCAGATGGAGGAGGAAGGCGTTGCAAGACTGCTCACTCTCATGCCCATCCCATTTGTTCTTTCTCACCAGGTCTTCCTAATTATACACCATGCACCCCTGGTGAACTCGTTAGCTGAAGTCATTCTGAATGGAGATCTGTCTGAGATGTACGCTAAGACTGAGCAGGATGTTCAGAGAAGTTGTGTAAGTCGCCAGCACTGGGCCTGTTTCTCCTCTTGATCAGAAACCATGGCTTATTTTGTTACGTGTCTGTTTCTCTAAAACCAGAAGCCAACATTCTGCTTATACGGCAGTGATGGTGTACACGTGGTCTGGGATTCAGGGAAGCTCTTCAGAATCTTAAAATGGGTTCCCAGGAAAATCTGGGCTCAGGTTAAGCGTGGATTTGAATGATCCACTGTATGTTATTGAACGTGGAGTGTATGGCAATGAACCTTACGTTTCACTTCTGTGAGGCACTGTTACTGGGAAAGAATGAAATAATACCTTACCGAAGGTACATATACCGTAAAGGCAAAATACGTGTTTCAATGATGTAGGCCCCATGTGAGAGCAGTAGGGAGTGGTGGTGACTGTGGCAAACTGGAAAGTACATGGTCCTTTGTGAGCAGGTGCTGTTCCACACCAGCTTGCAGTTGTTTTGCAGGACTATGAATATATTATTGCCAGGTTTCCCTAGAAGGTGGAAATCTGCATCCTGATGCAAAATCTCCCAAGTTCTCATAGATCCGTGGCCCAATGCAGAGTGTTTGTGTTTTGTCCGTGATTGTTCATTCTGTACTGCACTGAGGAAAACACTTCTCCCGAGGCTTTCCCAGTTTGGCCTCTGTCTCATGCCTGTATTTTCCTCTTGGCCTGCTCAGAGGAACTACGCTCCAGGTCACCTGAGTACTGATCCTGCTTTCCCCTCCCTCTGCGTGCCCTGTGTTTCTACCTACCTGCCTGCACTCTTACGTACCCACAGTCTGGAGACCCTTGCTTATGGCTCCCTACTGTCAGAGATCTTACCTGCTCTGAGTGGCTGTGGCAGGTATCTCCTCTGTCATTGTACCTGTTGCAGCCTGGCTGGGCACCCGCGTCTGCGATGAGCACAGTGTTTTACAGGGCATCTTACAAGGGCTCTGTCTTGGCAGCCAAGTTCTTGGCCAGTGCCTACATAGGTAAAGGGCTGGGCCTGCCCTTGGGCAGTCAGCTATGTCCCTCTCAGGTGGAATGTGATCCTATGGCAGGACAGGTCCGAAGTGCACTGGGCACAATGACAAGAGTCCCATCCTTCTAGTTGTCTGGCATCCAGTGGGCTGGCCAGCCTGTTTCACTGGTTAAGGGAGCATATTAGAGCTTCTGAGAAGGTTCCCAGAAACCTCTGTCCTCATTGGGGGTGGCATTATTTCAACTGGATTGAATGGGCCTTTTCATAGCCCCTGCTGTCCCAGCACCCCCCCCCCTTTTTTTTTTTTAAGATTTATTTTTATTTATTTATGCATACAAGAACTGGGGTGTTGGCCAGAGGTCGGGTGGTGAGAGGATTCACCAGACACAGAGTAGGGAGCAGAACAGGCGGATCTACTGAAACACACTGCCGAGGGGAACAGCAGGGAGACGGGAGAGGTCTGCTGCGCTCTGTGGGTCAGCTCCCTGGCTGGGTATCGAACTTAGGGCACAGTGGCTGGTGATAGCTTGATAGCACTGAGACTTTGATCCCGGTGCCACCAGGGAGGCCCCTGGCCCAGCCCTTTTTTAGATTCCTTCGGTAAGTGTTTATTAAGCCTTTTATTTAAGTCAGGCGTCGTGCTGGTTCTGAGGATGTACAGAATTCTGAACAGTGTCTTTCACCTTGGAGCTTGTCCAGTGGGAGAGACAGACGTCTGTCAAATACACAAATGGACTGTCTCAGGTCCTCTGAGTGCTCCAGATGGAAGGAGTAGTTTGGTGAGGGGACTCACCCAATAGGTGACTGGGGGTGACAAGAGTGGAGCTGGGAAGACCCCCTCTTGGGCCCCACCATGGCAGCAGTGGCCTAGCAGATGTAGAGCTGATTTGCTCTCTTACAGAGCTGTAGATAACTTCTATGTAACTTTCTTAAACCAGCTTTTGCTGAAGGAACGTAGCTAAGGCAGCGCCAAGACTCTCCAGGTGAGAGCTGCTGAGACCCCGCAGCCTGCAGGTCACTTTGAGTGTGTAGTTCCATCCTATGAGAAGCAGAGTGAGCAGGCCCGACTTGGGAGGGCTGCTGGTGAGGATGGGAAGGAAATACATCTGAGGTGCCCACGGAGCACCTGGCATGCTGCAGGCTGGCCCTCAAGCTGTTTAGGTTTGGGCTTCTCCGTGTTTGCAAGAAAATTTTATGAATGACCAACTTTTTTTTTTTTAAAAGAGGCAAGCTTTATTTATTTGTTTATTTATTTATTTATTTATTATTTATTTATACATACAAGCATTGGGTACAGTCAGAGGCGCGGGAGGTGAGAGAATTCACCAGAGCCAGAGCAGGGAGCAGAGCAGGCAGAAGGACCGAAGCACACTGCTGAGGGGAGCAGCGGGCGGCAGGAGAGGTCTGCGCGCCATGCGGGACCCTCCTCCGGTGGCCGGGGAGCAGCCGGGGATCGAACCGGCGCTGCAGAGGATGCTGGCAGCTTCGCAACCCAGTGTTCAACTGCTGCGCCACCGGGGAGGCCCTGAATGACCAACTTTAAAGTTTAGCAAGTTTCACATAAAATTGCACTTTTGGGGATTGTCTTGGTCAGACAAAGTGGTCACCATCGTGCATAGACAGGAAGTCTCTCAGAGTCCTCCTCCCAACACACACACACCCATACAGCAAACATCCCCTTTCCCACCCAGCCTCTGCTGACTTGGATGCCATTTACATGATCCTGCTGTCACGTGATTTCAGACCCCAGGCCTCACAGGTCCATCTTACAGGTCCTCCTGTAAGACATTTGCTGCTGATGTCCGGCTTGGTGCCAGGAGATGCCCCCAGGAGCCTGGGGGCGCTGGAGCTTGCCTGCTTTTCATTGAAATTGATTGGCGTGTTGTTGCAAGAAATCATCGCAATCCCTGCGCCCTTTCCCTGGTTGGCCCCACGGTAACATCCTGCAAACCTAGCACAGTATCACACGCAGGAAACTGACAGCCGAGTTTGCAGTTTGAGCAAAAACAAATAGCAGTTACTGGCCACCTCTCAGCTTAGGCTGCCCAAGTCAGCAGAGCCTCTCATCAGAGGAGTGTGGGGGGATCTGTTCTTTGGCCTCCCCTGGGATGCATTCCTGCCTTCCTCGTTGTAAACACACAGACAACCTTTGGGACCCAGGGACTGGCAGTGGCAGGTGCCTGAGCTGGAAGGCAGGCTCCCTTGAGTGTGGAGGGAATGCCAGCCCCGGTGAGAGTGTCCTCTCTACTTCCGGTTCTTGCCTTCTGCCGCAGCCACTCCCAGCTCTTCCTGTGACGACCAGTCGAGATTTGGGAAAGTGGAGGTGAGCCTCCCCCGCCCCGCTGGCAGCGGTCCTGGGAAGGCTCACCTTCCTTCCCTCTGAGCAAGCGCAGTCTCCTATTATTTCCTGCCTAACTCGGATGTGGTTTGATCATACTTGTTTTAAGTTTCTTGGTCTTTTTTAACCTACTTTCTCCTTCCCGTAATTTGTAGATAAGTTACTGGTATTGCTTCATTTTTACCAGCAGACCTTTCACAAAACCAAACCAAAATTGAAGAGAGAAGCAGAGGGGAGAGCAGGGTTATTTGAAAAGACTGTAATTTAGGGTTAAATTTAAAACACATCAGCATGGTTAGATAAATGTCTAATTGAAATTCATCTGTGCATTAAAATCATATGGTTCTACTAAGGGGTGATTCCTGCTATAATTCTAATGCAGAGCAGACAGTGTTTCTCGTCGGGGGAAGAGAGTAAGGCAGCACTGATTGTGAAACTGCTGACATCTCATTTTTGCAGAACGAACATGTGGATGAGACTAATCTAATGCTACACCCGTGATAGGCATCATTACCTGTGGGTTCCTTATTTATTTATTTATTTATTTTTGTAAGGAATTTTTTCATCCTGGGTTTCTGTGGAATAGTTTCCTTAGCTTTTGAATTCCTTCATCCACTTCCTCGGCAGAGATGTGGTGGTGTGGAGGGAAGACACCTCCCTCGCCCTCCTGGGCCTCCTGTCCCCCGCGAGGACAGCGGGCTATGTCCTGGAGACGCCGGCATGGCCTGTGCCCTCACAGGGCCTGCTTGGGGAGTACTCGCTGCAGGACTGGATGACTCAGTGGGGAGCTGGGGGGGGGGTCTCAGGGAACACAATAGCTTCAGTGCTTGCTCCTCACACGCCGCCTTCTCTTTGCTCAGTGGCAGATTTTGGGGATGGGGTGTTTGAGTGGGCCGCGCTGGGTACCATGCCACAGCAGCGCTAGGGGCCTGGTGGAGCGGGCGCCTAGTGGAGCAGGTGGGTGGCTCCATGCTCCTCACCCCAGGGCAGGGCAGTTTCCCCCCTCCAATGAGATTCGCAAACATGGATTTGTGAAGAGGAGTAAACGCAGTGTAAAGTGCTTTTTCCAAAGTGTAACACACAGCAAGTCCTCAATATTAGGTGATGCTCCGGGAAATCAAGAAGGGTGAGCACACACCTAAAACACTAGTTGCTCAATGTTCTTTGCATGACCCCTGTCTTTCCCAGGAGCCAGACCCCGCAAAGAGCACCCCACCAGCACATGGCACGTGGGCCATGGCTGAGACAGTAGCAGCCTGGCGTCTTAGCTGCGTGCTGGCAGGATCGAGTGTTCCTAATTGGCATGGGTCCCCCGCTCGCTGCTGTAGGCCGTCTTCCCAGCTGGGCTGGAGTCAGGCAGCCCAGCTTCTCCTCATGGGAGGCTGGGGGCTGCACATGGGCTAGAAAAGGGCCCCTTCATTCACTTCCTTCCCAGGCATCCCACTGATGTAAAGGCAGTGGCCAGGGTGGCAGTGGGTGGTCATTTATCCCCTGACTGAGGACAGCGAATGTAGCGGTGGGTGTAACTCCCGTCCCAGGAGACGGTTAGCAGGTGTCCCTAGTGCTGAAGTCTCGCTGACCTGAGGTTGAGACCCTCCTGGTAGCCTCCAATGAGGCACAGAGACAGATTCTCAAATACTTCATGAACAAAGAGAAGAAAAGACAACATTCAAGGGCTTTATTCTCTCAAATCAT